CTCCCCCCCCCCCCCCCCCGCCACCCCTTTGCTTTATTTTATTTCATTTTTTATTTAAATTTGCTTTTGCCTTTCCACCCTTAAAAGGAATGTATAATGACCATTTCTCTCATGAAATGGCTGCATACCTCACTATTATGTACAAAATAGATATCGTGCTTCTGTTTCTTCATTGTACAAGTAATTAGTCTAAGCTTGTGGTTAACAAACAAACGATAATCGATCCCAAGCTAGTTGGATTGGCTGTTTGAACCTCAATATCATAGATTGTTCTGTATGGGTTTAGTTATGAGGATTCATCAGCAGTTTTACGCTGGCTGTCAACTTATTCCGACTCTCTTCCTTTATCAGGGATGGATTATGTGCGCAAGCTCACAAGTGTGGTGTTCTACGCAACGTGAGAGCTCACGTAGTGTAAACTAGTGATTATTTCTTTATGTTTTCCCCTCTATCTATTCCCAAAGTTGCTTTCAGAAAATGGTACTGAAGTAAAATCAAACAGACAAAGCAAGCCTGCTACCTGTGCCTGGAAAATTGGACCTGTTTGTTTATAGATTTTTTTTTTTCCAAAAATATGTTTGTCCATGAAATTTTATAATTTTTCAAAAATTAAAAAATAATTTATTTTTAGAAATTATTGTTTGTTCCCCACCTCACAAAGCTGTATTATTTTTTCAAAAGTACAATACATATCCAAACATAATTTCAAATTATGAATACCATTTTTCAACTTAACTCCAAATCCTATTTTTTTTCCTCAAAAATTACAATTCTTATGTCCAAACGCCTATTTAGTTAGTGTATATCAAAGAGCAAGAACAAGGTGCCAAACTGACACATATGAACTGTTCATCTATCTTTATCCCTAAAGAGAATAAAACAAAAGCTATCCGTCTAGAAATTGAAAAAACACAAAATCTATACTGACAGTTCAAAATTTTCAACTATCAAGTTACATAGATAAATATTTTTTTTCCAGCTAATTTTGTTACTTAGTAGACATGGTAATTAGTTTATTACAAATAGATAAACTATAACCCGTGCATAACCCTCTTAGTGCTTACTGTTTAATGTTTATAATGGGAAATAATGTAGACAGATGACAGAAAATACAAATCCATTTATATGTTCACCATAACATACATCTCACAACTACTTGAATCTTTTGGAAAATGAAAATAAAAGCCTGAGAAATACTACTTACTTTACTCAATCTTTTAGTTTGCGGTCAGAGTAATATATCTTAAAGGCCTTAGGAAGATACACAGGCAACAAGAAACCAAATAAATTAAAGGACCAAAATACCATATTTGCAACAGCTAAAGCTCTACCCATATACAACCTCCTCACATTTCCTCCATATTCTTGATCCACTTTAGAAATTTCACTTGTCAACCATTCCATAATTGTAAAAATCCTCCTCGAATTGTAAAATACTGGAACAAATACACGTACAGGTAGCGAAAATCTATCAGTAAATGCCAATCCTTCCATAAAAACTTGACTGGCCAACAAGAAAACATGTGGCGCTGCTGCTTTAATACCTTCTTTATCACCCTCGTAAATACCTTCGATAATATAAGCTATGGGGAGAAATAACCCCACAATTGCTCCAATTGTAACATAAAAAGTAAGTAACTTGTTGTTTTCGCTAAAAACAGGAGGTTCTGTTTGAGGAGAAATTGGTGGGAAGGCAATTATGGAAATGAAGTACATGTAAATTAGAGAAAATATAACAAAAGCGAAATCCTCAACACTCACCATACCACTAGAAGAAAAGACGATTACAACGGCAAGGGCGTTAAGTTGTCTGAAAGTGAAGAATCGTCTGTTTTGGTGCTGAGGTTTTTTATTGTTGGGGAATTTGGTCTGATTCTTGTCCTGTGGAAAGTGTTCATCTTTTGGTAAACTAATGTCACTACATACACCAACCCCACCTGACATTTCTTTAAAACTTCGTTCTTGGTTGCTTCTTTTTTGATGGATTTGAAGTAAAATTCGTTTATATGATGATCTTTCGTTGAAGATAACAAGGAACAAACTAGTTCAGAAAGTGAACAACTATTTGCAGTTAAAATGCAGAAGTTTTGTCTTGTAAGGGGACAAGGAAGCACGTGGCAGTTGGAGGTGTTGGCTAAAATACATGGCTGAAATAACGGGACGTTGCAGTTGTATTTTTATTTTTTGGGAGGGAGGGTGGGGTGGGGGTACTATTAGTTTTATCTTTGGAATGTCATTTGGGTCATTTGTTAGATAGCTAAGACATTTGTCGTTAAGTCAAAATGTGTGAAGCTACTAAGGAGGCATGTCGTTGTCGAATTGTGGCCTGTCGAGTGACTGCGTCCATGAGTTATTATTTCGCCCCTTATTTTCCGTGAGTGTTATCTTTATTGTTACTTATCCTTAGGGGTGTCAATGGATATTTAAAAACCGACTAAATCTACCGAACCGTACCGTACCGAACCGATTTATAGGTTTCATATAATAAAACCGTAGGATTTTATATAAATATATAACCAAACCGATAATTAGGGTAGGTTTTTTATTTTATAAAAATAAATCGAAAAATACCGAACTGTACCGAATAAATTTACTGTGAAAAATATATTTATATATTAAGTTTAAAAATGATAAAGCATTAAAAAAATATCTGGAACCTTAGAATTATGGAATAGTTACTAGCCAACAAGTAATTAAATTTAGAATCCTAATTCCCAAATCTATTATGCTATTCCTATTGAAACTAAATTATTTCCAGCGTATTCACTAGCAAAACACAAGATATTGTAGCAATTATGAGTAGAAAACTACAATGTATTGAATACATTTCCTTTCGTATGATTTAGATTTATCTTTTTTGTGAATATTTTAAATCTTCTATAGACTTTATTCTTGAGACCCAGTTTGGTTAATACCTTTCCATTCCTGTGATTTATATTTTTTTGTATTTGCTTAGTTTCTTTTACGCTGATGTAGAATAGTTGATTGGTCTATATTCTAGCCATCTTTTATATTTTCTTAATTTATCACCTTTTAAACTGTAAAAATATCTAGAGAGTTTTTCTAAGTCCTATAAAAGTACGTATGTTATTGCATTCTACTTCTAGTAGTGATTTTTACATATTAAAAAAATTACCGAATATTTACCGAATCGTACCGATATCGAAGAGAAACCGACATAATTGGGACGGTTTCGAAAAATCCAATTTTGGTTATACATAATAGAATAACCGAAAAATTGGTATGGTACAAATTTTATAAAATAACCGGCCGAACCGAACCATTGACACCCCTACTTATCCTTATGCATTCCGTGAGTTGTGCATTGGAAATTCAACTTTTGAGCAGATGATTGTATGTGTCGAAATCTGTCTAAGGGAATCTTGCTCAAAGACACATTACTGAGAGACGATTAGGTCGAGGTCGTACTCAAGATGGAAGAAACTTATTGTTGAGCTGAGTAATCGGTGCCGAGGTCGAATACTCAGGCCGGCCATAAGGGCTAGTTTTGTAGCAAGACTACACTTGTACTTTATGTTAGGTAAGGGATATGTTCCATATAAATCGAAAGGTATAGAGAAGAAAAAATATGTATGTAATATTATATATGATAAGAACTCTTATGAAAAGTTGACTCTCTAGTAAAATAGCTTTCCATAGAGATTTGATTTTTGCTGTTTATCCCCCATTTCTCGCATCAGATTCGAGAAAGTTTCTTATATTCTCATATCCACTTGTTTTACATCATTGTGAGAAAGTGAATCATCCACCTCACTCAATATTAGGTGAATCATTCTCTCTATTTATATTTAGTGCCATTTAATGTATTTATTGCTTATCATTCTTCCCCACTCACTCATAACATCATCATTTAATAAACGTTGTATTAAATTGGTATTAACGCAATCCCATGTTATTTATACAAACACGTTTCAGATCTAGAATTTATTATGCTTAGCTAGGATTTACCCATTATCTTCTTATTTAATTAGTTTAACAAAAGGTTTCATACTTTTTGGTCAAACAATTTGGCGCTGTATGTTATAATTTTCTAGTTAAAATTTTAGTTTCTTTTAGATCTAAAAAAAAAAAGAAATTTTGCAAAAACCCTATACCTCCTTGTGTGCACAAATCTAACATGACTGGCAACGTAGAGGAAAAGAGAAAAGCGATAGCCGACCTCACCACAACCCTCCTTCACACCATCAACGAAGAAAATGAAACGGAGGGCGAAGATGTAACAATAAACGCCTCTCCCAAGAGAAACAGCTCGCCCCCCCTCACGGTAGCATCACGACCTCGCACAGTAAAGGGGCATCTACATCCACAACAGAAGAGGCACCACCGGCAGTGAAAAAGCTACTCGAGGCGTGGTTGGCGAACACGCTAACCAGCTTCCTTGACAAGCCCTCCCAAAGGCCGAACAGAGAAGAGGCAAGGGTTTGCGTTGCATCAGTAGCTGACGAGCAGCACCCCCTCTCCCCTGTAATAGGTATTACTCACAATGCTAGTGATGCAGGTAATGCCACCCTCACGACCATTTTGAAGAAGATGGAGGAGATGGAGAACGAGAACAAAATGCTCTGCAACCAAATGAAAGAGCGTCAAGAAAGGTTAGACAAAATACCGGGTGCTCCAAAGCTTTTGCCAAAAAGGGATGCTGGCGGGTTCGTGGAACAATCGTACAGTGACAAGGCTGCACCACACGCCATACCTAAGACCTTCAAAATGCCGCCGTATTTAAAAATATATGACGGAACGACGGACCCTAAGGATCAAATGACCCACTATGTCACTGCAGTGAAAGGAAACAACCTCGCCAAAGAACAAGTGTCATCCATATTGGCGAAACCCTAACCGGGGGAGTGCTGACTTGATACTCACAGTTACCTGCGCGTTCCATAGTAACATTCGAGGAGATGGAAGACAAGTCTGTTACCGCCCATGCCGGGGCTAAGAAAGCAGAGGCGAGGGTGAACGACATATTTGCCATTAAGCAATCGCCTGGCGAAGGACTCAGGGACTTCTTTGCCTGATTCAACCGTGTAAGAATGACCCTTCCAAATGTATCTGAAGGGATGACAGTAGCCGCTTTCCAAATGTGGGTTGAGGGCGACCAGAAAGTTGCTAAGCCAACTCATGAAATACCCTCCTACCACTTGGGACGAAATACACAACGCATACTGTGTCGAGGTAAGAGCTGGCGAGGACGACCTTAACGGACCTACTCAACGGTTAACCTCAGTCAAAATGGAGTCTAGGAAGGACCGAAGAAGTGACAATAGGAGGGATCTAGTGGGGCCCCGACCTAATCGGGAAAGACATCAGCCTTAGGTCAGAGACGCCCTCATGCCGCCTCAGCGCCACGACGAAGGCCCATCCAGGCCACGAATGGGAACCCACCAAAGTGAGAGAGGTATGCCCCCTTTATTATCTGCTCACAATTTTTGTGTTTCCCCCTCAAAAATAGTCTACGCACTAGAGAAGCTCGGCCCAAAAGTGAAGTGGCAGCAGAAGATGAGATCCGACCCGAGCACCAGAAAGTCAAATGCCCTCTACAAATTCCACCAGGAGAGGGGTCACAAAACTGAGCACTGTATCACCCTAAGATAGGAGGTCATGAACACGATTCACCAAGGGCACTTAAAAGAGCTGATGAACGACCGGGCGAGAGCCAACTTCGCCTGAGGACGTGAACAACACCAGGGACCGCCTAAACCACCTTCCCCGGCTTGAACCATTCAAATGATCATCGGAGGGGGCGGCGATGCATCAATCAACAACATGAAGTTCACCACCACGCACAAACTCAAACGGTCAGTCACTCATGAACGGTATGACGAACTTGAAGAAAGTATCATCTTCGATAAGTTGGATACCCACGGTTTGGTTTTTCCTCACTATGACGCTCTTGTCGTTACTTTACGCATCTTAGATACTGATGTATAACGTATTATGGTTGATGATGGGAGCGGCGCATGCATCATTCACCCTCGAGTTCTCGCACAAATGAAGCTCGAGAATAGGATAGTGCCACGCTGCATCACACTGACGGGTTTTATAACGCAGTTGAGCGGACATCCGAAAAAATCACACTGCCCGTCCTGATCGGCGGAGTCACTTTGGAGACCACATTCCACATCATGGACCAGGATACGACGTACAACGCCATCATAGGTCGACCCTGGATACATGCCATGAAAGCCGTCCCCTCCAGCTTATATCAAGTCATCAAATTTCCCACCCCTTGGGGGATATTGAGCATCCGAGGAGAACAACGCACTTCCCGGGAATGCTACCGCATCCAACAGTTAAAGGGTAAAGCCAAAGAAGCATAGCAATCAACAGGGTCAAGGTCGAGCGAGGACGAGAAGGATGTGATCAAAGATCCTAAAGTCATAGAAGCTACAGGATCTATCGTAGAAGACCTCGACCCCGTCTAACTCGATGATAACGACCACATCAAGAAAGCTTTCATCGGCCACAAGCTCCAAGAGCCAGGTAAATTCCGTCAACTCTTAAAAAGTAACGTAGACATGTTTACTTTTTCCCATGCAGACATGCCAGGTATTCCAAAGGAGATAGCGACTCACAAGCTGAACGTCGACCCATTCCACCCCCGGTAAGACATATCGGGCAAAAATTCAACACCGCCATTAATGACGCAGTCCGCGAAGAGGTAGAGAAGTTGTTGGAAAACGGCTCCATCAAGGAGTCGAGATATCCTCAATGGGTCGCCAATGTGGTCGTGGTGAAAAGAAGAACGGAAAGTGGCGGATGTGCGTGGACTTTACGGACTTAAACAAAGATTGCCCGAAAGATTTGTTTCCACTTCCTCATATCGATCAACTCATTGACGCGACGGCCAGACACGAGTTGCTCAGCTTCCTAGACGCTTACTCGGGCAAAAATCAGATCCTCATGGAAGAGGAAGACCAAGAGAAGACCACCTTCATCACCCACCAGGCGACGTACTGCTACAGGGTTATGCCGTTCGGGTTGAAAAATGCAGGGGCGACATACCAGAGGCTGGTGACCAAAATGTTCAAAGATCAACTCGGCAAAACCATGGACGTATATATAGACGACATGTTGGTCAAGTCGAAAAGAAAGGAAGACCACATTGACCACTTGAGAGAAGCCTTCGACATACTCAGGAGGTACG